TTAAGAATCTATATTAGTCACGCCCTAAAACAAAAGTGTTACATGATTTTCTTATGGCAGCAGTAGCATAATGCCTTTGAAAAAATAATGACAATACTGCTTTTCTGTGTTAGACTCATTGTCTAAGGCTTATCCCTGTGTATATTTTAGAGAAGCATACCATTAGTGCCATGAGGAGAGAGATGCCTTTAATCTATCCATCATTCTTCTGTCCATCAAACTTCTGTTGAGTGCTTGACATGCCTTGGGATCGTCCTAGCAACTGCGATGCCGATGGTAGTTTCCCGAAACTCAAGGAACATTGAGTCTTCTCTTCCTAACTGGAGATCATGCATTCCCAAACTAGCAGACAAGGATTTTGCTAGATGGCCATTTTTGCCAGTGTATGTGTCTATGTGATTTGTTCCACTTTGGTTCATTTGCTCTCTGAGCACACTCCCTTGTGTGTTGTAAAGTTCTACTTCTGTTAACTTTAGTAAGTTTGCTTCTTTTTTGTCTTCAGTCTCCTCCAATCTGCTAATTTATCATGTTGACCATAGGATTAATTTACCTTATTTGTAACTTTTCTGCATCTTTCTGCACCTTTTATATCTGTTTTTAAATTTTTATTTCCTGGACCTTAGGGCACCTGTTATTTTAATATGAACTCATGGTATTTCCTTGATATCATAAACTATTTCATTTTCTTAATTCATATTTTCTATTATAATATGATTCTCAACAGTGCAGTGTTTTGATGTTCATTATACCTCTATGGAGGAGAAGGTAATCGCTCATTTTCCGAGTGTCTCATTGTACTGTACTGCAGTTGGCTTTCCTTTAGAGTGTAGCTCAGCCTCGAAACCAAAATGGGATTTCACATGCCCATACTGTCCCCACTACCCATCAGAAAGAAAGGAGCAACTTAGGGATGAACAGAAGACTGACTTCCTTTCGGGCACTTACTGGATAGTGGTGAAGTGTGGCTGGGAGTTTCTTAGTATGGAAAGAGGAAGAAAAGGAGCCTCCCCTTAACTGGCTGTCTTTCCCACACTCAGACACACACATATTTCTATTTTACATGTTTACTAATTATGATATTCATGTTTTTATTTATACCACTGGGCCATTGGTGTTTGGTAGATTCCTACTTCCTCTGTACGCAGTACAGTTTAATAAAGGAATAAACATCTAGTAAGCTCCTAAAAAGTAGTTGACTGGGCCTCTGGGAATTTATTTATAATTAACTTTTCATGTGTCTTTTCCTGGTTTTGATTCATGGAATGAGAAAGACCTGATGAGGAAATCTGTGGTCAGTTCGACACACTGGAACAGAACTTTTAAACTAGTTTGAACTTAGTTTTCCTTGCTTTTCCTTTTATGTTTGGTTATGGTTTGGAGGACATAGGGTGGGCATTGTGGTTCCTCATCTTCAGAAGGTTAGAACAAAATTAGAATAGCTTTGACATTTACACAGACTAAAATTTGTGACATCAATCCAAATCTTTTCCTTTTGAATTCTAGTATAAAACAAAATTATTAAAAATGCAATATTAAATAATAATCCAGCTTGAAAAAGTGGTGTGTCCATAAAGGGAACTTATTATTAGAATTGAGCTATTTAAATTTCTGTTTGTATAATGACAAAAACTTCATAAGGCAAGTGCATAGAATGAGATTGGAGCCACCTGCTGGCTCATAAAATAATAATTTGTATCCTAAAAAATACATTCCAAGCAACTAAGGAAAATCGAAGACAGTAGTAGTTGAAACAAAAGTTTCCACTTTAACATTGGTATGTTAAATGTGTTTTAGGGAGTTTTGTAGTTTATACTTTGGAAGGTTTCTGTGTATTCTTAAATATACATACATCTGTTAGAAAGCTAATATTAAAAACCATTTATTAGAAAGTGATATACTCTAAATTTCCTAGCTTTTATATCTGCTAAATCTTGGATCAGTGTGAGTTTTTGTTTTGTTTTTTAAACATCTAATCCATAGTGATTCTTCACAGAATTCTTCACAGTACCCAGGGCTTCTGACTCTAACAAATGGAGTCTTACTCTATATCATAAATAATTCTAAATAGATACTAATATATAATAGATGAGCGTCACTTGTTACTTTAGAGCATTTCTGCATTTTTCCTTGTCTGCAGGATTTTGATAATTTCTCTTTGGCTTTATATTTCCCCTCTTTTAGATCTTAATATGTTATCATAAGACCCAGAAAACAGTAAAAACGTCTTCAGTTGGCCAAAGGCCTGGTATTGTACTTCGGCTAATGCTTTGTTTTGCCAGTGTCCTTTCAAGGTGTTGTAAGCTGCCCCGTGAGGGCTGTTGGGGCTGTTTGCACTTCCAGTGAATTCCTTCTCAGTCTGTGATGAGATTAGAATCATTTGGACTCATGACAATTCCAAGAAGCTATGGATGGCTGATAAACACCTCAGAGTTTCTAGAAGTTCTTGGTTTAGATACAGTCTGCATTTTTTAGTTCTGGTAATCTGTTCCCATGTCCTGACTTACACTCTTATGTGTGTCTGTCTTAAATTGATGAGGTAAAGCCTTGCTCATATGTTTTGGAAGAGCTCATAGCGTGACTTGTGATACCATTCTCACGGTACCAAGTCTGGAGATGTTATCTGACCTTTTTGCTTCAGGTTATCTAGGTATTTATTTCCACATCATTAAGAATAAAGGATTCCTAGATCCTTAGATCCTAGATCTATATCATAAAGATTTCTAGTTGTGACAATGTTGCATCCACCTGTCTGTGGCTTAGCAAATCAATTTAAATTTCTCACTTTGATTTCCTTAATCTACAAAATATTATAGTGGGACTAGATTATTTCTTGGGTTCTCATTCACTATAATTTTTCCTGTGGATCTGTGTTGATTCTATGAAGATAACTGTGAACATAATGGTCTGTTAATCATCTGTTGTATTATTGCTATTTCTATTTGACTTTCTCATTTTGTTTCCTTTTGCTGGAGTGATTATTTATATTGTCAGCCTAAAAAGACAAAAGTGATTTCCCATTGTTAAAAATGCAGTAATTAGGGGCGCCTGGGTGGCTCAGTGGGTTAAAGCCTCTGTCTTCGGCTCAGGTCATGATCCCAGGGTCCTGGGATCGAGCCCCGCATCAGGCTCTCTGCTCAGCGGGAAGCCTGCTTCTCCCTCTCTCTCTCTCTGCCTGCCTCTCTGCCTACTTGTGATCTCTGTCAAATAAATAAATAAAATCTTTGAAAAAGAAGAAAAAAGAAGAAGAAAAAGAATGCAGTAATTAGTAGTAAGATACCATGATCTCCTACCCCTTTGCCAACATACATTTTTATTCCTCAATAGTATCAGTTAAACATTTATTGAATACTTACCAGATAGCAGACTGGTGCCATGCGCTAGAAAATAGTAATGCATGAAACATAATTCCTGTCCTCAGCAAACTTTCAGTATAATGATTTTTTTTTTTTTTTTTTTTTTTTTTTTGGTTTGGTGACAATTTAATCTCCTCAGCCCTGATAATTTCCCTGCAGGTTCTGGCATATGCTTATGTCTTTCTTCTAAGAGTGTGTTAACCTGAGATGAATCAACTTCTTTATGCCCTTGCTTGGTGACTATAGTAAATTTCAGTGCACTCTGAGGGTCAGAAAAGTACGTGTCAATGATTTTATAAAAATGACATATATCTTTTAGGGCATAGTATATTTCTGAATGATGAGAAATTAATTTTTTCATTGATCACCACCTTGTAGGACGGTAGTCATAAATGAATGAAGCCCAGGTTGAGCTTGACACGTTTACAGAGACCTTGAAGTTAAAGAAGAACCGCTAAATCTACTGAGAACAGTTCTTGGAATAATTTAGGAGACAGTATGGGTATTTTGTATCCTTGAAAACTCTTTGAATGGCAACTTTATATACTGGATTATATTTAACTTCCCCTTACTCAGCTGTTTATGAGAGACCACGAATTGTTACATTTGGGAATTAAGAAGTCTCAAGTCCCGGCGTTCTGGTTTTACATGCCTTTGCCTTTGCAAGACAGTGGAGGATAAGGTGTCATTTCAGAAATACTGTTTCTCTAGCTGTCTAAGTCCAGGAGTGCCAACAAGCTGGCACTGTTGTGGCTGCATAGTCATAAATATAATCCTGGTTTTTCACTCGCTGTAAGGTATCTGGTGTAGAAGAGGCAAAGACCATATAAATTCACTTCATTATGTCCAAAAGGTAATCCAAGAGACATATTTATGCAGGTATATCTCTTCATGCTTCTTTTTACTTTGGGTAAGAAAGGTGCTGTAAAGGAATTTCATATAAGAGCTGAGTTGATTTTACTTAAAATGTAGTTTTATCATTAGTTCCAGAAGTTTTTCCATTCATGTAAGTAAACTTAGGAGGTCTGCTTAAATTCACATTTATTTTTTAGAAATAGTTTCGTTTTGGGGCGCCTGGATGTCTCAGTGGGTTAAAGCCTCTGCCTTTGGCTCAGGTCATGATCTCAAGGTCCTGGGATCGAGCCCTGCTTCGGGCTCTCTGCTCAGCAAGGAGTCTGCCCCCCCCGCCCGCCCCCACCTGCCTCTCTGCCTACTTGCGATCTCTGTCAAATAAAAAAAAAAAATCTTAAAAAAAAAAAAAAAGGAAAAAGAAAAAGTTTCACTTTAACTTCAGGTGATTTTACTGTGAATATATTTTATAATACTTATACCAGAGTCCTTATGTTTATCTCTAATGTCATCATAGCAGTGATTCTTAAAGACCATTAGTGTAGTATAAATCTGTACTTTTGTTGAATAAAATGATTGTCATAATCAGACCATTATTGTGATATTCTAACACCATTTCTGAGATGTCTTCTTACGTGAAATAAAAAAGATAATGGTACTAATGATTGGGGTATAATGTAGGCATAATAGACTATATCTATTGATACCTTGTCTTTAGTTTTATAGTGTTTGATCTTGTTCATCATAAGGCTAACATCATTATATATTCTTACCTTTTCTCTTAATTTAAACACATAGGGATGTGAGATTATTTCAACACCTGACCAAGACCATACTGACTTCACCAAGTGTCTTGAACTCCTCCAAAAAAAGATAGAAGAAAAACACCTACAGGTAAGATACATACCTTTCTAGTGGTTAAGAGTCTTAATACTGAGGATGTCAAAGACCCTTTTTAAAGTTTTTACTCCTCTGAAGTGGTAACTCTTGTGCCAATGTTTTGGCTGTCATATTTTTCCTGCATATTGGATAAATCTGTTCTTAGCTGCCAAAGTGTTAATGTGTGCACTTAAATCGGAGGTCAAAGATTCAAATACCTTATAGTGGTGAAGTCACAAAATGGGTAAAGTGGACCTTATGTAAAGTTACTGAAACTGGCAGCTCATTCTTGGCCTAATATGAGTAGCAGCTTTTCATCTCTCATTCATCATTTCCATGAAGACCTGTATGTGTTTTCTTTTTATATGTGTGTTTAAATATTATGAGGGCAAAACAAGCAAGTGTGGCCTATATTTGGCCCATGAGTCATCATTACAAACTCTTACATAAGCAAAATATGATCAACTTGAACTCAGAGAGGAGTCTGCTACGTTTCTGTCATTGAAGACAAGCCTTGTTTATTATCCTAATTGACAAGTAGCACATTGTACAAACTGAACAAAAGTAATTGAGTGAACATTTCCCATCTCTGTTGTAGCTTGAACAATAACAAATGTATTGTGCTATTTCTAGCAATAAATTGCTGTAATTAAATATTTGTTTAACAAAAACAGAACACAGCCCATTGAGAGTTACCTGCTTTATCCAGACATAGCTGATTTTGAGTTTCTTAGAAAAGAAATTATAAATTCTTCACAACTGGTGTTTCAGTTTTCCTGGGATCAACACTGAAATTATTGAAAGCTGGGAATGCATATTATATATGTCAAATTGGTAGTATCTGTATCTGTAATACAGTATTTGGTCGTTAAGTCTGAAAATAAATAATCATATCTCAAACTTAACACTGAAATTCAGAGAGAGCCTCAAACTGAGGGAAGAGGGCAATCAGGCATTAGATGTATATATCATCTGGGAAACCAGTCTGGTAAGATCTTGGATAATCCAATAGGGAAGACAGAATCAAGACCTTTTAGAGCAATCTTGCTCTGAGCAGAAAGGACTAGACCCTCCTCCTCGCATTGTGGTTAGTCATGGGTGGGAAGCTCTCAGGGAAGGTTGTGGCCTTGGTGGCTCACTGTGCTGCATCCTGGAGTTGCCACGGGGCCATGACAGTCAGCTGCCCCCCTCACAGCCATAGCGAGTTCTTTCTGGGGGAAAAGCAGCAGTGCACTTCCACGGCTGCCTCAGGCCTCTGGCATGATTTAGGCTCAACACATTCTCCAGCTTCATCTTGCACTACTTTTTCTCTTTGTTCAGAAAAGATAACCTAGTCCCTCTCGTTCTCTGCCTTGAGGTGTCATCTCCTCTACGTAGATTTTTTTTTGCCCATCATTTGAATATTTTTCAAAATTTTTCCTTCTCTTTGCCTGTCCCACAACGGCAAAATAGGTGAAGTTGTTAAGGAGGCCTTCTCTTCTCCATCCCTCCAGGTTAGGTTCTGTCTCTTTATGTGTCTGTACCCCCTTTGTTCTCCTCCAAGGCACTCTGAACACTTCCAGTACTTGCGGTGGTTATTTCCAATTGTTTACTGGAAGCCTTTCTTCCCAGCCTGACCATATAGCCCGCAAAGCTAGGACAGATCTGTCTTGTTCATGCCTTACACACCTTGTGTGTAAGAAGTGCTTTGTTACTGTTGAGTGTGTGTTGTGCACTATAGGAATGCACAGGAGAGTCGAACACAACACGGGTAGGGGAAAGGCTTCTTAGAGAAGGCTGAGACATCATAATCGGGTTGCATGGCAGAGGGAAGAAGAGCGTGCTGGGATAGATACTCGGTACTCAGGGAGATGGATAGCTCTTCAGTGAACAAGTGGCAGGGAGTTTGAAGAGTTTTAAGATGGACAGCAGTGTGATTAGTTCGGTGTTCTAAAAAGTGTCTGTTGGATAAACGGACGGCTCCATGTCTCACAATGAAAACTGCGTGGTCTCATTAATATAATCTTCAGGTTATAGTAAATCTGATGAAATAGAGTATCTGTGAGCTTCCACTCAACTTTACATTTAACCTGGAGGTACAGTGTTTCATTTGATTTAATGTCACAGCAAGAGAAAAGCGAAATTAGAAAAATTAGCAAGGAAAATAATAAAAGATGCTCCTACCCCAAGTAAGATCATCATGAGATGAGGGCTGTTCACAATTTCTACTTAAAATGCAATCAACTGTATAGGAAAATCTTTTATACTACTCCACCTAATGCCCTATCAAATTATCATACATTTCTGTTTTTCTGCTTACTGTTATAAATTATAAACATGAATTTGTCATCAAAGTGTCTATATTTCTTAGTAAGATTTTACCTTTCTAATATATACTTTAAAATGTTAATTATGAGATAAAGTAATATTTAATATGTTAAGAAACTGTACTATGTAACATCTTAGAACTTTACAGAATTTGAATTAGTCTGTCCTTACCCTAAAGGAACTTACTATCCAGAACATGTGATTAATTTTCTAAAATTTCCCTAAATCACTACATTTATTTATTTACTTACCTATTTTAAACCTGTTCACCCTCAACTTTTATTCTTTTGCAAAAGGGTTTACCCATACATGTGACTTTTAATGCTTTGCTTTCATGTTACCACATTATTTATCTGTAACTGAGTTATGAATAATACATTATCAGGATGCCATCTGATATGACTGGATCTTCAAAGAGTACATATATTTTTTGATGCCGTGATGCATACTTGAGATCTAAACCTTTGAATTGGGTGGCAAACATTATGAGCTATTGCTCCAACTTTCTAAAAATGTAAGATGAATCTTGTTTAGGAAGAAGCAGAAACAAATGTAGATTATAAGACCCTGAGAATAATAGGCCTTATAAAATACAATTTGGAATATTTCCTACTATTATATGATGATAGAATTCATTATTTCAATCTCTGAGATTTTATTTTTTATTTTATTTATTTATTTATTTATTTATTTACTGGCTGCTTGGAGTTTATTTTCCACTTGGTGCAAGGCACACAGTTCCAGGGTGTGAGGAAGGTTTGCTTGTGGCTTGGATGGTAAAGACTGGGATTCTCTCAACTTCCTTTTTGGTGTTTTGCTATTTTGGTATGAGAGAACCCAACTGCTTCTGCTTGGGGCAGCCTGCCTAGTCTACAGGGAAGGGAGGGGAGGGGCTCTCATGAGATCAGTGCCTCCCGAATCCTGGCTGTGACCACTCAGGATGGCTGGTTGCCCGTGTTGGCTTTGCCAGACTGGCCACCAGGCTGCTTCCTCACGGCTTCTAGAACCAAGTCACAAGTGATCTTGCCACTGGAGCCTGAGGAGACGCTGAGCATTCTGGGGACTCCAACACTGTAGCCCTGAATGGGAGAGTGGACTTCTCAAAGAAACTTGCCTACCAGTGACCTAGGTCGGTCTTGGGGAGACCCAGGTGGTGAGGGATGGTTTCCCCAGCATACTCTGCACTTTTGCAGGAGCTGTTACTGGCAGTGGAGCCCAGGCGGCACTGGTAATAGTCGTGGGTGGCCATCAGCGCACCACTGGAGGGGACGGCTGCCATGCTCGTGGAGACCTGTGCACATAGGGGTTGCAGTATTGCTCTGGTCACCCTCTGCCCCCCAGGAAGGGCACTCCCCAGTAGGGATAGTCTCTGAGGTTTTAAACACAGATTTAACGTTAGACAAAATTCGGGCAGAAAAGTTGTCATTAATTGCACACTGTTGGTTGTATAGATTTAAATGCATACTAGTTTTATTTGCTGAAACTTTAATGCATTTTATCCCCCTTGTACCATATTATTTTCTTAATCAGTTTTTCAATCAAATAATGTAGGCTGCTAAAAACAGTACTATATGAATAAGAGCAAATGCCTAAATTTTATACACACAGATATCAATAATTACAATTAAATACTACATAAAGACTATGGGATTATTACATATTGTTTTTAAAAATTATTTCAATAGCCTGAGCAGATATTGGATTGGATTGTGACTTGTATGTATTAGAATAGTTTCTATGCATTATGTCTGAATTGGAGTTCTTGACTATTGAGATTAGGTGAGGAATATTAGATAGTCTTTCTATTTAATTCCTACATGGTATGTCTCAGATACATTATGTTTAGACATCTGCAAATGCTATGAGTTTTAGATTATTTATTTATGTCCACAAATTATCATTGTTGGGTTAGCTGTACATTACTGTTTTCTAATGGACTAATGGCTTTGTTGTATGTCCATACTAAATATCTGTTGCTTCTCACTTGCAGAGGACAATTAAGACTGTATCTGATTGGAATAATTACTCACATCACTTTAATGAGCTCTGACTCACAGAGTTGTGGGAGGAACCATGATAGTGCTCTGAGAAATGTCTTCCAAGGGTCTCTGGTGTCCTCAGTACCATCTTCTCTGATGGACCCATGTGTTCGGCAAGATTCCAGTCTCCTCTAAAGTAGAATTTAATACATCTGTTTGTGTGTGTCAGCGTGTATTCTGGAAAGGGATGACAACTAACTTCACAGTAGAGAGACTTGGCTGATACCATCTTAATCAGGTAATCAAACAATGTCAGCGAAAATTCTTGATAACACATGCCCCTCTTGATAACGTCAAGGGTGCTAAGGGCACTTGAGAAGTTCTTCCCTAAAACCCGTAATCCCAGTTTCATCTTTGAAAAGAAATCAGAGAAAGTCAAATTGAATATTCTCCCGAATACCTGACCAGTGTTTTCAGGGTCACGACAGATAAGAAAAGATCAAAAAACTGTCACAGACCAGAGGAGATGAAAGAGACATGAAAACTAAATGCAGAGGGTGTTCTGATTTGTCCATGAACTGGAACAGGGCATAAGCGGAAAACTGGCAAAATGGGAACAAAGCCTAGAGTTTACTCTAGGTAGTATTAGTGAAGGTTAGTTGGAAGGTAGGTAGTCAGGGACAAGGGGCCCCAGTCCTAAGGGGAATCCACCCTTAAAAGGATTTTACA